GCGACGAGGACACACATCGACGCCTTTGTTTCAGGTACCAGAAGATCTTGTTCATGAACATATCAGTGATCAAGCTCGGAATTCAACAGGTGACGATTTTTGGTAAGATCACTATATATTGTGATGCTACCGAAAATTGCACCTGGTGAATTCTGAGCTTGACGACTGAGAATGAGCACGAACGTGATCTTTTGGTACTTGAAACAAAGGCGTCGAGGTGTGTCATCGTCGCCCCTCCGATGCTTGAGTCAGAGAGAGAAGAGAGAAAATATATGTGAAGAATGTACCTAAATAATGATCCCATATTCCATATTTATAGGGCTGAGTAATAGTGGACTCCTAGTAGGACTCGTCATCTTCTTTTTAGGAGTGACTTATGGTAAGATCAATGTTAGATTAAAACTAGAAGTCTTAACTTACCATGTGTTCCATGATAGAATCCTTATAGACCCAGAATTCTTAATTTATGGCAATTGGATACGGTTAATGCTCTTTCGGGATGAGAACTAGTAACGCTCGATTATGGAGCAATTTGAGAGTCTGATAAAGGCAAAATCCGGAACACCTACCCCAGAGGGCTACTGGTGTGAGAATCGAAACCTTGACATCTCCTAAAATAATTGAGAACTTGACAATTGTGGCATTCATTGAATTTGAAACTAAGCTAACCAGAATAATATATATTATATTTTAACGGGTTTAATGTAATTCTAAAAATTTGATTACGTGCTCTTCCTTTGAATTATACAAACCTTGATCACAATATCATTTGGCGAATAATTGCTTATTTTGACAACAAAATTATATATATTCAATTTGAACAAAATAATTGTTATATTTAAATTTTAGACCTTGTTTGATTCTTTTTTTAAAAAAATATATATTTTTGTTTCTTCTTTCAATCGTACATTTTCAATAAAATAATACTACATTCAAATTCAAAACTTTTTCGTATTTTTAACTACATATTCTCCACTAAATCACTATTCCAAAATACACTTTTTGCAAAGAAAAAAATTGGCATCAAAAGCGGCTCTTAATATTTTATTGCTGACAACGATCGAGAATCTACGGTCGCCCGGGTTGACTCAAAATCTTGGGTCTGTCACTGCTTAAGATCCGTTGTCTAATTTGCACAAATTGGCACATCATGAAAAATTAAAATTAATGTTAGGATTGAAAAATTAAAATTGATGACGAATTTAAGTTTTCATGACGTGTTAATTTACAATTGGGTGTACAACAACTTGAACGACAAAATGGACAGCAGATCGATATACCGAATAAATTACTAGGAGTAGAAATAATTATGTACAAAGAGGTGCATAATAAGAGTGCATGGTCTGTTTGGAAATTGGAGACGAGGAATAAATTTCTCTTTCTGTCAGATAAGGAAATAAATTCAGGGTCATTGCAAAATAACCCTTTAACTAGTCGACTACTAAGGTATGTTTAGTATCGGATATTAATTATAATTAATACTTAAATAGTATTAAAAAATTAACTTTTTTAGTTTTTAATTGTCTCGTAATGAAATTCATTTTACCAAATGAACCATTGTTGCAAAATAGACAATACGAATAAATCGTGGAATCGAGTTTTAAATTTATCTCTTACTCGTGATTTTTTTCTACTTTATTGAATTTGATCTATTTGTGATATATAGAATTGTTGAATTTCAAAAACCTCCCCAAATATTTCAAAACCTCCATTACTAGAATAAATTTTTCATTCTCTCTCATATTTAGGGACCATTTGATTCTCATTATTGTAAAATGAGAATGAAAAATATAACCGCTATTGAACCCCACACAAGAGATAGAAATTCAAAATTGATATTTTGACGTGATGAATAATGACCATATTTTTCATTTTTATGGATAAAAAATGAGAAACAAACAGATACTTACTTATATATGCTTTCTTGTTTGTTTTTGCCCATACTTTAATTTTAAAAATTAAAAAAATCATACAAGGATAGAAACCACTGAAGGTACTAAAGAAACAAACAACGACTACTAATTCATCCTCATATTGGAATTCGAAATCCAACAGATCGAAGACAAATAAGTAAAGATATTAAAAATGCGTAAATTTAAAAAATAAATTTCCTGATTAAAAAAAATCATTCATGTTGTTACACTAAATAGTCGCTGGGTGTGAAAATGTACCAAAAGTTGGTGCCTACTCCGAACGATCGTTTTACTCAGCATCTAGGCATGATTTATGAATCTATCATAAAAAATATATAAATTGAAAAACGTTACGCTAGATTGTAAAATATTATTTCACTTTTAAAAAATTAAAATATAAATTATGTTATAAATTTTTGACCATTTTTTCGTTCTCTATTTTACTTTATTATATTCTAAATTATATTGCTTATATATAGTTGTACATGGACATATTCTATCACGAGACACCTCTCTTGACAGATTGTTTACGTGGCAATTTTCTAATGACTAGATTAATGTATGAAATGTAAAAGATGATGTGAGATCTTATTAAGTGTAAATTATGTAAACCGTGTGAACAAAATTGCTTACATGACAAAGTTCTAATTATTATATGGAAAAGTCTAAGTGTACATAATTTGGCCACATAATGGTGTCCATAATTTGATGTGGACAAGATCTGACTGTTGATGTGAAAGTGTGAGATTTGAATTAAAGGTTGGATCCAGTGCCACGTGTAATTATGGACACCATTATGTACAAAATTATGTACATGTAGCACTTCCCTTATTTTTGTTGATAGCAAATTTGACAAGATTCTTATACTACATATATGCAGCTAATGTTCAGATCTTCCTTTCCAACAATAACTAAGGGCCTGTTTGATACAGATTCTCATTTTCTACAGTAAATCAATTCTCATTTTCAACCACACATTCTTCAATAAAATAACATTTTCCATTACATCAATACTTTTTTCTTCTTTTTCAACCACACATTTCCCATCATATCACTATTCAAAAATCAATTCTTCTCTCAAAAATCTTTACCAAACACACTCTAAGTAAAGATATTAAGAATGCGTAAATTTAAAAAATAAATTTCCTGATTAAAAAAAATCATTCATGTTGTTACACTAAATAGTAGCTGGGTGTGAAAATGTACCAAAAGTTGGTGCCTACTCCGAACGACTGTTTTACTAAGTATCTAGGCATGATTTATGAATCTATCATAAAAAATATATAAATTGAAAAACGTTACGCTAGATTGTAAAATATTATTTCACTTTAAAAAATTAAAATATAAATTATGTTATAAATTTTTGACCATTTTTTCGTTCTCTATTTTACTTTATTATATTCTAAATTATATTACTTATATATAGTTGTACATGGACATATTCTATCACGAGACACCTCTCTTGACAGATTGTTTACGTGGCAATTTTCTAATGACTAGATCAATGTATGAAATGTAAAAGATGATGTGAGATCTTATTAAGTGTAAATTATGTAAACCGTGTGAACAAAATTGCTTACATGACAAAGTTCTAATTATTAGATTAGATGTGTGAGATAAAAAAGCCGTGTAAGATCTTGCCACCTATAAATTCTGTAAACCAGGGTGTAAACCAAAGTAAACTTGTAGCGAGATTGTATTCTATAACTTCTATGTTTTTTTTTTTATATAAGAAACTAATTTCTGTCAAGTTCTTCTATAACTGCACTTGTAAAAAGTTATCCAAACATGTTCAAAATCTTCTTAATCTCATAAACAACTTTCAACACATCATGTCGATATAGGAAATAGCAAAACTTCATTTGAAATGTCACCTCACTTGTAGCATACCATGTTACCTATTTGCTAACAAGAAGTATTATAATGATATATATCTTTAATAGGGAAACAACAAATCTCAACTAATCTTCTACAAAATATTCCAAAACAAGTATTCCAATTTTTATTTGAGAAAACATATAAATATTGTGAGTAACGTTATTTATCATTATCATAATGGAACATCGGTGATTAACATATATCATACCCATATTTTGAAATGAAAATCAAATTTGATGAACATCGTCTTTTTGCCAACAATGCAGAAAGTTTTAAACTGTTAATGTAAGAATACAATAAACTCTGCATATTACTAACAAAGAAAAAGTATAAGAATAAGAGTAGCTCTAACATGAATAAATGGGCAATAACAAGGACGACTAAAAAAACAGAGTGCGTAATATACTTTGCAAAGAAAAAGGAAATACAAATAATAGTGTTATGAAGCACATTAATAAACAGAAAAGGTGACTTAACAATGTAGCAAAATCTCTACACTCCAACCCCAATACTAATTTCTTTATTTCAAACCTTAAGTGAAAGTTTGGTCGGAGCAGTATGGTGTGGAAGAAAGAAGATTTGACTTCTTTGTTTGCCGATGTTAATATTGTTAACTGTAATCCAATTCTCTCGGCCAAACATGTCATAACTCGTAAGTACATAATTCAGGTGCCCATTCTTCAACTTTTTAGGCCAAATTTTTTACTTGGAGCATAAGCACCCACCCCAAGCAAGAAACAAAGAAAAACAAGTGGTGATTTCATCAGAAGGGGGAAAATAAGGGAACAGAAGTCTAAATGTGTGGGCAATGGCCAAGTATACTAAGAAGAATGCTTGGGCTGGCAAAAACAAGGTCAAGGGTCCAATGCAAGTCTTTTGTGGATACTGACCAAACACTAGATCTGCTCCCACTTTACCAAGCAGGCTATGCAGTTCTCACTTCCAAAGGAAGACAAACATCTTTTTCTAAACAATAGGATAAGGACCTCTGAAATTTATTGGTGCTGGACTTGGTTGTTCGGAAAAAACGAAGATATAAGGTTAAAGCTTCAAATTTAACATTTAATCTAAGGTTAAAACTAATAAGTCACCCCCACTTGTTCTTTTATGTTTGAATTAAGATCATTCTTAGACTGAACATTTAACTTCTCAAAAACATAAAAAGAACATGATCCACTTACCTTATCTTCCAGGAGGATCTTGGAGAAAGCAGCTAATGGTTCCCACCTGCAAGGAAAGGAGAAAATGTACCCTGTTAGGGTAAAACGAAAATATAGCAATATATAATGCAGTTATGAAAAGGTAATCAGCAGAACACAACCAACGATTATTGCAAACTTTCAAATAATGCTATATTATAATTGCCCATAAGAATTTTCAGGACTAGCATACTACATCCCCCTTGGTAACCTTACAAAACTTGATGCTTCATCTCAAGCGCGACAATGAATGAGGAAGCTTCGGAAAAAATCTCCACGGATTTCTACTCATGCTAAAAAAGGCCTCAGAACATCTCAGCCACTCCAGCAAAGCTTGGGGGTTCAACATACTGTGAACTTATCTCATAAACATGGAAGACACTAACCCATTTAACCTACTTATCGAGAAAAATTATTTATAGATAATTAACTTCCATTAGAGTAATCAACCCACTAAAAATCTCAGACAAAGCAACAGACGTCAACACTAAACTAAAGTCAACATTCAACTTTATTTCATCTTTCCCCTAAAAAGTATTCTTTAAAAGCTAGTCAAAATAACATAAATAAAAAAGAGGCCTCACCAACCCATTAAACAAACTGATAATAATTTCATATAAGGAGAAACGGAGTGAAGAGCATCACTGCTCAATCTATTCCATGTAAATCTGAATTCCAGTCTATGACAGGACGAGGATTCACTTGTCCAACTAAATTAAAAACTCAAAGCAAACATTTTCTGGAAAACCTTCATGCAGATTCTCTATTACACAAAATCCACGTCACTAAAATCTACATATAATTTTTCTTGTCATGTATTCCTCAATATAATAAGCTAACTACAAGGTAACCACTGGCACAGTGGAAGAGAACTTTAGCTGACTAAGATGCCCGAGGCGACTAGTGGTTCAGTAAAGATGTATTTCCTTCCCTCCTTACATGTCTCCTTTTCTCAATTGCGCCTCTAGTTCCTATCAAGCTATTGAGAATGAACTCGATTTTGGGATAGGCTGCAAGAATACAATGCAATTCTCTTCATCACTCTCTATCTTCAGAATAGCTATTGCCAAATAGAAACATCTTTGGGCAAAACAAAATATTTCAGAAGCACTCTCTCCATTGAACTCTCAAAATCTACTTCAAGAACGCTTATCCCCCTCTTCTTCCTTCCAGTTTTCTCGGTCTTGTCAAACAAAAAGGAATCGCTCATCACTCTGAACCAAAACTATATATGAAACTTCCAGTTGCGTTCATCACAAAGAGTAATGTTAACCATGTGATCTGACTAGAGGCAATTCTTGAGTAAGAACATTGGCATGAGGGTATATGGATCGTAAAGGTGCAGTGTAAAGTCCACATCTAAAAGCACCTAATAAAATCATAAAGAGAGAATATACATACTAGTAAGTAATCATAAAACACCTATAAAACAAGAGGATACTTGCCTATGAAGCTCATATCAGATGTCAGTCTCAATCCCAAAGCACGTCAATGCCCTTCAGTTGATCCAGGATCATTTAGATGCACAAAGAAGCAACTCGTTTACAACAATCATGGCCGACACCGCTAGACTAAAGCGAAGTTTTACACAGCAACACAACAATGGCAGCTTAAAGAGAATTCGCAATTGAGGATATGAACACGTGAAATTTTTAAAGAAAATGAAAAGCTCTTCAATTTCACCAGTTGTATCTGCCAGATATTTTTAAGATATGCTGATTCAAGTACTCCTTCACCAAAAAAAATATAGCAAGCTAGAACTTTTAACTGCCTCCAAAGAAATCTAAATAGGAAACACATTCAAATTCCATTTCTCCACATCTCAAACATCACTTAACAACCAGCCATTTTAGAAAATCCTAAGGGTTCATAATTTCTGCAGCAGAACAGCAGCTTGCTATTGAGCTGAAATAATCACTTCTAGACACACAACTCCCAAAATTTCTATTATCTGCAACATAATAGCATTATACTGGAATCAGCATTGATCAATGACAGTATTGGAAATAGTGCATCACATCAGCACTTCCTTCTTCACATCAAATAGCTTCATGAGCCCTTGACAGGCTTATTGCAAAAAAGGAGACAAGGTTGGCATGATCCAAATGGCTTTATTCAAAAAGACAGACAGCAAACACATCCAATCTTATAATGCCATCTCAATGCTTTAATCTAAAAGAACGTAAGAGACAGCTTCATTTTCCACCTATACATTCAACACACAGGAAATCCAAAATTACAATCAGTTTACCTAAAAAATGTTCAAAAACTGCAACTACTGATAAGAGATGCCTTTGACTTTGTGCAGAGCAAACCCAGGCAATGTAAGAATATAAATGTAAAATGGTTCATAACCAGTCCTTGAAACTTAACCACAAAAATTTGATCTCAGAAAAGGATCTCAATAAAGCACAGAAGATGAGCTAAAAGTATCCCACACCACTGTAAGTAGATGTTGATTGTCATATTTTGACACTTCTAATTCCTATCTTCCACTTATCCCTTAAGACTATATATCCAGAAAAGCTTTAGGAGATACTCAAGTTCCAAATTCTTTTCAGCAGCATCTGAAGACTCATCCTAATTTGAGAAGTTCTAGGTAAAACTCTCATCCAAATCCTATAGATTGATGATCACCAGTCAATCATGTAAAATCACAATATCAGGAAAGACAAGTCTTCAAAAACTCGGGAAAAAAATGCCTGACAAAATGTTTCAGTACTGACATGAACAACCAAATTCCTATTAAAGATCCATCAGGCACCATCATCAAATTTCTCCCGATTTTTCTAGCAAGCAGCGGTGTCGACAACTCCTTCAACTGCAAAGACTAAACCTCTTGCGCTCAAGAAATGCTTCACTTTACCACAATAAGTAAATCTTCCAGGATGCAACTTGACTAATATTATCTATCCTAGAAATCGAGTCTAGAGCAGTGTGCCTGAGCATTCTTCAGCATATTCCAACAAATCTGCTTCAGGCGCAATTTCAATATACAATCAAAATATATAACAAACAAAAAGAATCAAAAACAAAACCCTGAAAACGTTATGATGTATGCACATAATGAGTAAGGAAAGCATCTTATATACTAGTCCTAGATTTGGACATAAAGGAAGACTATTACAGCACCATTAGATAAAAGAAAGCAAGCTTAACCTCCTACATAGTTCATTAAAAATAACAAGCAACGTATCAAACTACAAGTATAAATACGCACGAATTCATGAAACACATGCTCTAGTCCCTTTCCACTATTATGCAGCAACAAACAAGACCACGAGTGTGCTCCTGTGAAGCTTAACGCATAGCAATCCACACCTCAACGACGAGTCATCCATGGTTTTTCAAGGCCTCCCCAGGAAGCAGAACCCGAACCATACAGAATACCCTTGTCTGCAGCACCCTGGGAAGAGATGTACATTAATACAAAAGAGCAGTCCTCTCCACAAAATGATTTTAATAAAAATAAGAAATATTATAAATGTCTGAATCATGTTAGTAGCACCCATACCGGAAGAATCCCGTATCCATCGCCATAAGGTGTAGGAAAACTGGTATCAGAACTGCTAAACTTCATCCCATAAGTTCCACCTTCAGCAAAAAATCGTAGAAAATTTAAACAACGTTGAAGAATTCCAATATCCACAAATATGCCAGATTTGCATTGATGCAAGATGGAAAGGACTCAAGAAGAGTTAGTTTTACATACTAGGGTTTAAATTGTGTGGATTCCATAAAAGGTAAAATCATGCATTGAAGTGTCAAAAAGTTAGAATACCATTTAAATAATTTTGGCACATATATATTTTGTGAACATCTTGTACTATATAAAAGAAATGAATATAGTTTCACCAAAAAGAAAATAATATATTGGGCACTCCAAGAGTAGAAGAGTGAAAAAGGATGGCCACGATCATTCTAGACATATTTTAGTTTACACAGTTGTAAATAGGACTTTTTCCATCAGTACCAAAAGGCATAGACCATCTTTATATCGCCAACAAGTACCAGCAAACTGAATAAGGCATAACAACATGCTCAAGCATCAATCTTTGTCCTTGAAAAAGAAACTAAAGGAGTTTCTGAATATTGTGCAATAACAATATCATGTCCATGAAATTAAAGAAAACTTGGAAAGAATTTTGAAGAGGTCTAAAAGAAAGTATCTACCTGCACCCCATGCTCTACCATCAGAATGTGCACGCTCAGATCGTAGTTTTTCGAGGTCATGAGCCATGCTCACCAAGTTCTTTTCTATTGATTGTCTCTGTTCCATTAGCTCAAAATGTGCATTCTTTTCATAATCAATAGGACTTCTGCAAGTCAAAAAATGATAGCGTAAGCAGATCAGTCTATGATCCATGGCAAACAAAAAGCAGTTTCCACTTTAAACAATCAAAGTCCAAAAATTTATGCCAAAGTCAAGAGCGCAGACCTAGCCTGCAGAAGTTCCTGACCCAGCCCACTGATCTCAGCCCTTAAAAGCGGAATTTGGTGGTTATCAGCTTGAAATTTTGCTAGGTCTTGTTTCAGGGTCTGGACCTGCCCAGATGAATCTTGCCTAAGGGAGTTCAGCCTCTGAATTTCAGCTCGAAGTTGCACGACCTCCTTTTTCAGAGGCTCAGTTGCACGAAGGCCAGCTTCCAGCTTCATACAATGTCCAATAAGTTCCCTAGATTGAACTTCTTGTTGACCATGAATATTAGCAATGGCAAGATTCATGTGGGGGATTTCTTCATTGGCAGAACCTAGTTCTCTTTCTAGAGCAATTCGATCTTCAACTAGTCTCCGGTTATCTCCCAGAAGCTGGCAAAGTTCAACATGTCTCATTTCAAGTTCTTCCTCTAATAGAGCAGGGTGAGGATGCGAACGGGGTAAAGGACCCCGAGCAACAGGCCATTCTGGTTGATAACCACGCCAGTGATCAAAGGCTTCACGAGGGATATGATTTCTTCCTGCCATCTAAACTTACATTGAGAACAGTGAAATAAAATGGCATTAATAAAACTAATAAAAAAACAGCGGCAGAAAATAAATGTCAGCCAGTAGTCTATTGACTTCATTTGTTGACAAAGTGATGGAAGCATCCTGCAAAGCTACTCAATATTTTAGAGAACAGCATTTGTCCATGTATAAACATGGTTTTTAGTTTCTTTTGATAAGATATGGAGGAACAAAATATCGAAGCTTCTTCCCAATAGGTTTGAAACCTTTTTCAAAACAATACAGTAACTTCACATTTTTCTCGAAATTAATGATTCTGTTTCCATACATGTAGGAGAAAATATGTTATCATAGTATTAGTGGAAAGCTAACAATGAAACAGTCGTAATAAAATTAAAGGTTCTAATGATAATTCAATAGTTTCATAATTATTCACGTGTTTCTTTTCCCTATCTTTCCACTATTTAGGAAATGCTCTCGTCAAATTTAATCAGGAGTTAAGAAACTCCAGATCAATTGAAAAGTTCACAAAACCCACCTGTTTAATTGTCGTGCAAACCTGGCAAACTGAAGCTAAATTACGAAATTTCAGTCCTTTGATCAGAAAAACAAAATCGAAGTAGATATAATTACAAAACCTAATTCAGGCCAGATAGCGGTAAAAACAAAACAAAATTTAAGCATCTCACAATTGATTTCGGAAATTGTTCAACTAGAAAAAACAGATTTTTCTGAAGAGAGAATAGACACAACTATTTTCTTAAATTGCTAACCTAATTGTGTGGATGAGAATCAAATAACGAACAGAACAGATATGAAACTGGATTGGAATTCAAACCTTTTTATTATAGAAAAATTTACGGTTCCAGAATTTGCTGCCCTTTGAACATTTGAGAGAACAAGAGAATATTAATCGTTGGATGATGTCGTGTTGTGTTGGTAAAATGGAATTATCTATAGGTGAGGTGACTTTCTTCACTGAGGTATAATTAATTTTTTACTATAGTCTTCTTATTAATAAATATAAATTAAATTATTATATAATGTAAGAAATAATATTTATTATATTTTTCTGATATGTGCGAAAATAAAAATAAGTTTATCCGGAATAAGTATTACGACCACGTCTGATTGTGTTCATTCTCCATTTTTTAGCAATTTTTTGATCATTATACAGTGCACATGGATTTCATACCAGTCGAAATTATTGAATGTCTCGTTATCCAACAATTAAAGTGGACGATGAAATGACATGCGTGCCCTTTTAAAATTGCATTCATTCTTTTTCAGATTTCTATTAATTCAAATATAAAAAAGGACGACCGTTTCCTTTTTTTAACAAAAATTGCGAGTTGTATGAATTAGTCAATATATGCGACTTCTAATTGTTGCAGTGTATGATGGTCGGAAAATAGATAGAAAAATCACAAGATGTCCCGATGCTATAAAAATATGTGACATTCATGATTTAGGTCAAATGTGATTGAAGATTAACTTTCAATAATGAGTTGATTTAATCAATAGTCACTGAACTTTGCTATAATTTATTATTTGTTTATCGAAATTTTTAAAAATAATCTTTGCTCATTGATCTTTATTATAGATTACTACTTGCTCACCAAAATTTAAAAAGTTACTCGTTGCTTATCCAAATTTAAACAAAGTTACACTAGTTATTCATATTATTTCCATTAGTATTACCTATATAAAGTTTAGTGGGGAGTAATTTTGTTCAAATTTGGATGAGTAAGTAGTAACTTATAGCAAAATTTAATAAGTAATAAGTAACTTTTTAAAGATTGATAAGCAAGTAGTAACTTATAGCGAAATTTTGTGACCATTGATTAAATTATCTCTTCTAGCCTCTTTGCAAATCGCTGCACCCTGCATGGTAAAAATAGTATTTTGTTTTTTTAGTTACCAATTATTTTTATATTTCGTAAAATTCATAAGTGTTTCGCGCGGGTTTACTCGCTAACAATTAAAAGGGATCGAACGATTGTGTAAGGGACAAACCTCTTGGAACAAAGTCCCAAAAAGGGGTGTTTATTGAATATGAAGATTACAGTTTGGACACGAACAAGATGCATCCAAGGGGCGCAAGCACATAAAACAGATTTTTCTGAAGAGAGAAAAGACGTGACTATTTTCTTAAATTGCTAACCTAATTGTGTGGATGATAATCAAATAACGAACAGAACAGATATGAAACTGGATTGGAATTCCAACCTTTTTATTATAGAAAAATTTACGGTTCCAGAATTTGCTGCCCTTTGAACATTTGAGAGAACGATGGAAAATTAATCGTAGGATGATGTCGTGTTGTGTTGGTAAAATGGAATTATCTATAGGTGAGGTGACTTTCTTCACTGAGGTATAATTAATTTTTTACTATAGTCTTCTTATTAATAAATATAAATTAAATTACTATAGGTCAAATGTGATTGAAGATAACTTTCAATAATGAGTTAATTTAATCAATAGTCACTAAACTTTGCTATAGTTTATTATTTGCTTATCGAAATTTTTAAAAAAAATCTTTGCTCATTGATCTTTATTATAGATTACTACTTGCTCACCAAAATTTAAAAGGTACTCGTTGCTTACCCAAATTTGAACAAAGTTCACATTAGTTATTCATATTATTTCCATTAGTATTACCTATATAAAGTTTAGCGAGGAGTAATTTTGTTCAAATTTGGATGAGTAAGTAGTAATTCATAACAAAATTTAATAAGCAATAAGCAACTTTTTAAAAATTGATAAGCAAGTAGTAACTTATAACGAAATTCAGTGACCATTGATTAAATTATCTCTTCTTGCCTCTTCGCAAATCGCTGCAGCCTGCAAGGTAAAAATAGTATTTTGATTTATCTTTGTAATAATTATTTATTCACCCATCGTAATTCTTGGCTAAATCATCCTCAATTTGATCAAAATTTATCTTTCTTTTTAGGATAAATTACTACCAGCGTCACCAACATTTGACATCATTTTGTACTTCTGTCTCCAACCTTTATTTTTAACATACTTGTACCCAACGGTTTAAAAATGTGCAGTATTCATCCATATTGATGAATCCAATCAATCCATCCATCTTCGTCAGTCAACCACCTACAAGCCCAAAAATCTAAAACGGCAACATTCCCTTGTTTGGTTCAGTTAAACAGTTGATAAAATCGAGTTCAAAGTAAACAATTAAATTTTAATTATACATTTTATGAGATTCTCAACATTTCATCATTTTTTATCAAAATGTAATAAAAACATATTTTCTATCTAAACCAAACAAGGTTTTATAGAAAAAGAAAAATCAATACGAAGACAATATCAGAGACATTCTGTCACCTTCGTGATGGTGAGAGAGACATCCACGTTTTAAAATATCACCTAATCTCTCATATTTCTAATTTTGAGTATCACATACATCTCCTTATCACCTTTAAGAATAAGTTGGATTAAGTAGAAATTGTGATCAAGGCTATTACGAAAACTCGGGGGTGGATCTGGGGGAAAAAAAATTTGGAAATTACACAAAATCAGAATTTTAAATATTCAATTTCAAAAATCAAATTTAAGGTTTCACTTTTCAAAAATCAGATATTTTATTTTAAATATTAAATATTAATTGTACAATTTTCACCACAAACCCTAATCAATTTCATTTCAATTTTCCCCATCCTTCCCTCTTCTCTCTCTGTTCTCACCGTCACTCTCTCTTCTCTGCTCTCCTCATTTTCCTTCGGCAGCCCAACCTCCACAAGACGGAGGGAGCAGGATGGACTCCTGGTGACAGTGGGCAGCACATGCTGCTTTCGTGACTTGAACGCAGCTTCCGTCGCTTAGCGCGAAACGCGACAGCATGCCTCGGTGCCATCTCAACTGGCACATAGTTGTAGCGCTCTCATGCGCTGCTGCTGTGTGGGAGGCAAAGCAGCGGTGGTCCCGTGTTGGCGGGCCGGTGTTGATCTATGATTGCTAGCGTTTTTCGGTGCTTTCTTGTGTTCTGTGACGGTGGCATTTTTTTGCTTAGCGAAGACGGCGACTATGATTTTCTGGCGAAGCAATGGGTTATGGTTGGTAAGATTCACATGGGCCAGATTTTGAATTGGACAGTGATTTTATTGATTTTTGGGTGAACGATTTTGTTGATTTTTGGGAGGCGATCTGGTGTTTGGGCGACTGTTCGATCTTGTTGGTGTGGTGGTGACGGTGGTTTTGTTGGTGATTGTGTTGACGAGGTGGTGATGTTGGTGGATTTGAAGTTGAAGATTTGTTAGAGGTGGTCAGCGACGATGATGGTAGGGTTGATGATTTTTTTAGGTTGTAGAATGGGGTGGTGGTTCCGGCGACGGGTTTCGGTTGCCATGCTGTTGGTGGCAGTGGTAAGGTGGTAGTCACAAGTGTTGGTGATGGTCACATATTATTTTGGTTGTTTGTGACCATTAAATTGATTAATGTGACTAATGAAAAAGATAAATTGTGACAAAAAAATAATGTGTGACATAAAAATTATTAATTTGTGATCGATAATTTGATAATTTGTGACTTATAATATTTGTAACTTGTGACCGATAAATAAATTGTGACGTTTCCATTTTTTATTTGTAACCGATGAACAAATTGTGACGTTTCCATTTTTTTATTTGTAACCGATGAACAAATTGTGACTTATAAATTTTTTGAATTGTTACGTTAAAATAATTTGTGAGTTGTGACCAATGAATAATACGTGACTTACTAATTTTATAAATTTGTGATCGATGAAAAAATTGTGACCTATAAAATTGTCGATTTGTCATTATAAAATAATTTGTGACCTATAAAATTTTTTATTGTGACCGAGAAATAATATGTGACCAAATTATATGAAATTGTAACCTTAATATATTTAATTAATAAAATATATGTTTAATTAGTTAATTCATAAATAAATTTTAAAAATATCTGGAATTTGAAATTTTAAACTTAAGTTCTTAAATTTAAAATTGTTAAAACTAAACTTCTTAATTATGTAT